CCATGCCCAAAACCCCCGTTCCCCTCTCCCCCAACCCCATCAGCCCTCAGTTTGTTCTCAGCATTTAAGAGTCTCTCATGGTTTGCCTCCCTCCCTCTACCCAACTATTTTTTTCCCTTCCCCTCCCCCCTGGTCCTCTGTTAAGCTTCTCCCGTTCCACTTATGAGTGAAAACATGGTATTTGTCTTTCTCTGCCTGACTTATTTCACTTAGCATAACACCCTCGAGTTCCATCCAGGTTGCTACACATGGCCAGATTTTATTCTTTCTCATTGCCATGTCATATTCCATTATATAGATAGACCACAACTTCTTGATCCATTGGTCCATTGATGGACATTTAGGCTCTTTCCATGATTTGGCTATTGTTGAAAGTGCTGCTATGAACATTGGGGTACATGTGCCCCTATGCATCAGCACTCCTGTGCCCCTTGGGTAAATTCCTAGCAGTGTTATTGCTGGGTCATAGGGGAATTTTATTGTTAATTTTTTGAGGAACCTCCACACTGTTTACCAGAGGGGCTGCACCAGTTTACATTACCACAAATGGTGTAGGAGGGTGCCCATTTCTCCACACCCTCGCCAACATCTATAGTCTCTTGATTTGTTCATTTTAGCCACTCTGACTGGCATGAGGTGGTATCTCAGTGTGGTTTTGATTTGTATTTCCCTGATGATGAGGGACGCTGAGCATCATTTCATGTGTGTTGGCCATCTGGATGTCCTCTTTGGAGAAGTGTCTGTTCATGTCTTCTGCCCATTTCTTCACTGGATTATTTATTTTTCGAGTGTGGAGTTTGGGGAGTTCCTTATACATTTTGGATACTAGCCCTTTATCTGATATGTCATTTGCAATTATGTTTTCCCAGTCTGTTGGGCACCTATTAGTTTTATTGATTGTTTCCTTTGCCATGCAGAAGCTTTTTATCTCGATGAGGTCACAATAGTTCATTTTTCCTCTTGATTCCCTTGTCTTTGAGGAAGTGTTGAGTAATAAATTGCTGCAGTTGAGGTCAAGGAGGTTGTTTCCTGCTTTCTCCTCTAGGGTTTTGATGGTTTCCTGTCTCACATTCAGGTCCTTTATCCATTTTGAGCTTATTTTTGTGTATGGTGTAAGAAAGTGATCTAGTTTCATTCTTCTGCATGTTGCTGTCCTGTTCTCCCAGCACCATCTGTTAAAGAGGCTGTCGTTTTTCCATTGGCTACTCTTTCCTGCTTTGTCAAAGATTAATTGGCCATACATGTGTGGGTCCAATTCTGAGGTCTCTATTCTATTCCATTGGTCTATGTGTCTGTTTTTGTGCCCATACCATACTGTCTTGATGATGACAGCTTTGTAGTAGAGGCTAATGTCTGGGATGGTGATGCCTCCTGTTTCAGTTTTCTTCTTCAATATTACTTTGGCTATTTGAGGTTTTTTGTGGTTCTATACAAATTTTAGGATAGTTTCTTCTAGCTTTGAGAAGAATGCTGGTGCAATTTTGATTGGGATTGCTTTGACTGTTAGATTGCTTTGAGTAGTATTGACATTTTAATAATATTTATTTTTCTGATCCATGAGCATGAAATGTTTTTCCATTTCTTTGTGTCTTCTTCAATTTCCTTCGTAAGTTTTCTATAGTTTTCATCATACAGATCTTTTACATCTTTGGTTAGGTTTATTCCAAGGTATTTTATGTTTTTTTTGTGCAATTGTGAATGGGATCAGTTTCTTGATTTCTCCTTCAGTTGTTTCATTATTGGTGTGTAAAAATGCAACCGATTTCTGTACATTGATTTTGTATCCTGTGACTTTGTTGAATTCATGGATCAATTTAGTAAGGCCTGGGGTTTAAAAGTCAGTAGGGGTGGCTGAGACAAAGCCCTAAGGGCACTGTGCTGTTCCTGGCAGTCAAACAACCCACAGGGGGACAATGTGGAAGGAGCTATCTGAAAAATTCATGGGTCACACGGAAGGGAGATTATTCTTTCTTCTTGAAATGCTTCCTTGAAAGGAAGCTTTCACAGAGATGCGTCTCTGAGGACAAAGAAGCTGGCTGGTGTCATTTCCTTCACCCACCTTTCAGCACAAAAACAGAGCCACCTGTGGGGAGCAAGGCAGTACCTACAGTGGCTGCTTAACCTGCTTACACCAAGTCCCACACCATGTGTTCTGGTGGGACTGCCCCACTGTAAAGCATGCCTCGGTCCCAGTGCAGTAGGCCTTTTCCCAAAAGACCAGTAGAAAGCCCTGTCCACACCATGTCTGCTGACCAGACAGTTCTGCAGGGCAACAGTTCTAGGAGAAGTAGCATCAAGTCTCATTTATCAGCCAGACTAGGGCACATCTAGTTAAGATTTGCCACACTCTGGCCAAGGATCAAACACTGCCCACATGGTACTAGAAGTACTAACCTCAGAAATCAGACAACAAAAATAAATAAAAGGCATCCAAATAGGCAAGGAAAAAATAAAATTTTCACTATTGGAGATGACATGGTATTTTATGTTGAAAACCCAAAAGACTCAACAAAAATTGCTAGAACTGATACAAAAATTCAGTAAAGTCACAGGAAAGAAAATCAACGTACAAAAATCTGTTGCATTTCTATACACCAGTAATGAAGCAGCAGAAAGAGAAATAAAGGAAGTTCCATTTACAACTGCAGCAATAACTATAAGATACTTAGGAATAAACCTAACCAAAGAGGTAAAAGATCTGTACACTGAAAACTATAAAAACACTGATGAAAGAGATTGAAGATGACACAAAATTGGAAAACCATTCCATGCTCATGCATTGGAAGAACAAATATTGTTAAAATGTCTATACTACCCAAAGCAATCTACACATTTAATGCAATCCCTATCAAAATACCAATAGCATTTTTCACAGAGCTAGAACAAACAATCCTAAAATTTGCATGAAACTATGAAAGACCCTGAAGAGCCAAAGCAATCTTGAAAAAGAAAAGCTGAAGGCACCACAATTCCATATTTCAAGTTATATTACAAAACTGTAGTGATCAAGACAGTATGGTACTGGCACAAAACCAACGTGTAGATCAATGAAACAGAATAGAAAACCCAGAAATGAACCCACAAAGATATGGCTAATTAACCTCTGACAAAGCAGGAAAGAATATCAGATGGAATAAAGACGGTCAACAAAGGGTGTTGGGAAAACTGGACAACAACAAGCAAAAGAATGAAACTGGACCACTTTCTTACACCACACAGAAAAATAAATTCAAAGTGGATGAAAGACCTAAATGTGAGACAGGAAACCATCAAAATCCTAGAGGGGAACAGAGGCAGTAACCTCTTTGACACTGGCCGTAGCACCTTCTTACTAGAGAGGTCTCCTGAGGCAAGAGAAACAAAAGCAAAAATAAACTATTGGGACTTTATTAAGATAAAAAGCTTCTGCACAGTTCTAGAAACAATCAACAAAACTAAAAGGCAACCTAAGTAATTGGAGAAGATATTTGCAAACGACATACCACAAAAAGGGTTAGTATCCAAATTACATAACTTATAAATCTCAACAGCCAAGAAACAAAAATCCCAATTAAAAAATGGCCAGAAGACATGAAAAGACAATTTCTGAAAGAAGACCTGCAGAGAACTACAGACACATGAAAAGATGCTCAACATCACTTATTATTAGGGAAATACAAATCCAAACTACAATGAGTTATTACCTCACACCTGTCAGAATGGCTAAAATCACCAACACAAGAAACAACAGGCATTGGTGTGCATGTGGAGAAAGGGGAACCCTATTACACTGTTGGTGGGAATGCAAAACTAGTGCAGCCACTGTTTAGAACAGTATGGAGTTTCCTCAAAAAGTGAAAAGTAGAACTACCCTATCATCCAGCAATTGTACTATTAGGTATTTACCCAAAGAGCACAAAATTCTAATTCAAAGGGAAACATGCAACCCAATGTTTATAGCACCATTGTCTACAATAGCCAAATCATGGAAAGAGCTCAAATGTTAACTGACTGATTAGTGGATAAAGAAGACACAGTATATAAATACAATGGAATATTACTCAGGCATAAAATGAATGAATTCTTGCCATTTGCAACAACATGAATGGAGCTAGTGAGTATTATGCTAAGTCAAGTCAGTCACTTGAAGACAAATACAATATGATTTCATGAACATGTGGAATTTAAGAAACAAAACAAATGATCATAGGGGGAAAAAAGAGAGAAGCAAACCAAGAAGTAGACCAGGAGGGATATGGGTGGGGGGATTAATTAAATAGATGATGGGTATTAAGGAGGGCACTTGTTATGATGAGCACTTATAATGATCATTTATAACAGAGTTCTCCAAAAAGTCTCCATTTCAATATTACTTTAAATCTACTTTAATAAATTATAAACAATTCTCTTTTAATGTTTATTTTAAGAGAGAGAGAGTGGGAGCATGAGCAGGAAAGGGGCAGAATGAGAGGTGACAGAGAGGATCCCAAGCAGACTCCAACTGTCACCTCAGAGCCCAACGTGGGGTTCAATCTCACACTGTGAGATCATGACCTGAGCCAAAATCAAGAGTTGGGTGCTCAACTGACTGAGCCACCCAGGTACCCCATAAATAATTCTTAACTTACAAATCCATTAGTAATTTAAGGAGCCTATTTTTTACAAGCCATTTTGGTCAAGGAGAGATTTCTTATTCCAAAATCTAGTTAAATATTTAATTAAATATCACAAAATTAAAATAATTGTTGTAAAGGCTTAGAGGATAAAATAAAAATTAACTTCGGGGTGCCTGGGTGACTCAGTCAGTTGAGTGTCTGATTTTGACTCAGTTCATGAGTTCAAGCCCCACGTCAGGCTCTGTGCTGACAGCTCAGAGCCTGGAGCCTGCTTCAGATTAGTCTGTGTTTCCCTCCCTCTCCCTCTGCCCCTCCTCCACTCGTTTGTTCTCTCTCTCTGTCAAAAACAAATAAAACATTATAAAATTAAAAAAATAAAAACTAACTTCCACAGAACTGAGATGATACTGAGGGAGATAGATTTTATTTATCAATGTGGTGACTAAAATTTTACAAAGAGGAGCAACTTCAAGAAAGGAAACAAAAATGCAGAAAGAAATATGCTCAAAGTACTTATCAGGAAGGGTTATAGAAACCTGAATACATTCCTAGATCACACATTTCTAAAAAAGAATATAACAAATATTTAGAGTTCCATATAATCTCAGGCTTTGATGTTCACAAGTCCACAAGTATGGGTATCCCCTAAATCACAGTTTAGGGGTTAGGTTGCCCGAATACTCATTTTATCATGATTCACATTCACAGCAGTACTACAAAGAAAATGCAACCTTCTGCATGTTCAGCTGAGGTACAGAGGACAGCAAAAGACAGAAGGACATTTTTTTCTCCATTTCTCCTCTCCCATACATTTGCTTTATAATCAGGAAAAACCCTCAATGTTAATATCCAGACCCCTGGAAGCGGGACTCAGAGAATCAGCAAAATGCACCCAAGTCAAAACAATGTAGATCCAAGAAAGGATGTTGATTTGGTGATGAATCTTTACTGGTCACCTTTCTGCACTAGTATGTCTTCTTGAGACACTCCCAATCAGGGCAGCTCTTCCACTTCTGCTCAAGACTCTGCTCCAGTCTTTTAGCTGATACTGCTCCCAACACACAGATGAAGGATCCAGGTGAAAGAGCTCAGGCCTCCAATCTAATCCATGACTTCTGTAACATAACAGTCCACATGAACACTCAATGCTGATTCGAGTCACACATTAACCGTCACGCCCGAACATCAAGTCTGGGTGCTACTCCTGAAGCAGGCTTCGTGAGATCAGCATCCTCATCACTTCATTGCTACCTGAAAGGCAGAGAAAGAACAAGGATTTAGTTTTAGCAAAATCTGAGAGCTCCATAAACCTCTAACTAGGGTGCTCCAAGGCTCACTCAGGGTAGGAGTAGGTGTAAACTACAGTTGTTGCTTTAACGCTGAGAGGGATAGGATTATCACAGATTGCTTTCCAAAGTACAGAAAAATTTCAGAAAGTAAGGAATAAATTTGCCCTTTAAAAATACCTCTCCTGGGAGAGGGGAAGATGGCTGAGTAGGAAGATGCTGAGTTTACCTCCTCCCATGGACACACTAAGGCTGAAACTACATACAGTGGAAATGACTATGACAAGAGCATATGACAACAGCATATGACATATGACAACTATGAACGCTAGCAGAACAGTTATTCCATACCTAAAGATATAAAGAAAATGTCACATTGAGGAGGGAAGGAGGGGCAGAGATGGTCAGGAGCCAAAGCACCCCAGCGCAGTGACTCACAAACAGGAAGATATTACAGGTGTGGAGGTCCTTGCTGAGGAGTGAGGAGTTCAAGTCCCATCAGACACCCTCTGCCCAGGGGATCTTCACTGGAAAGATGAGGCCCCATATTGTCTGGCTTTGAAAATCAGTGGGGCTTAAGTCAAGGAGAGCCAGGGAACTACAGGAAACTGAGACACCACTCTTAAAGGGCCCACACACAGTATCAGTCACTCAGAGCTCAGCACAGAGACAGCCGTTTGAAAAGCTCCTGGGCCATACCTGAGGGCAGTTTAATGACTAATTTTTGAGTGTGTACCAGGGGGACAGGGATCTGTAAGAATTTTCTCTGGGAACAGAAGTGTTGGCAAGTGCATTTTTCTTATCCCCCTACAGCTTAGTTAGCTAGATGCTTGCGGGAACAAGATCTGACACTCTCCACCTAACCTGCTAGCACCGGTTGTCCCACCCTGGCATTCTTCTGCAGACCTGCCCCGCCCAACACACTCAACCCCGCAGATAGATGTCCCTCCAAGCAGATACCACCCACCATATCCAACAAAATTATTAAGAAAAAAAAAAAGAAGACTCAAACAAATAAAATCAGAACTAAAAGACACAAAGTTATAACCAACACCACAGAAACATAAAGGATTTAAGAGGCTACCACAAAAAATGATATGCCAACAAACTGGAGAACCTGAAGAAAGAAACATAAAGTCCTAGAAATACAGTTTTCTAGGACTGAATCAGGAAGAAATAGAAAATGTGAATGGGCTGGGGGGCGCCCGGGGGGCTCAGTCAGTTAAGCATACTACTCTTGATCTCAGCTCAGGTCTTCGTTTCAGGGATGTCAGGTCAAGCCTCACACTGGACTCTGTGCTGGACATGGGGCCTACTTTAAAAAAAAAATCTGAACAGACTGATTAATAGTAACAAAACTGAATTGGCAATCAAAACCTCCCAACAAAGAAAAGTCAAGGACTGGACAGCTACAGAGGTGAATGCTACCAAACATTAAGGAAGAGTTAATACCCCTCCTTCTCAAACTGTTTCAATTGTCAAATTACTGTGCTGTCTGCCTGAAACTATTATAATATTGTATGGCCATTATACCTCACATAAAGAAAATCCATCTACAAAAGCACAGAAAAAGCACCAAAGGAGATATTTTGGACTTATATATGAAAAGAATCTAAAATATTAATTCTGAATGTGGAAACATGAGTGATTTTTATTTTTTACTTTTCCTACACTTAATAAGTTTTCAACAATAAATATACCAATTTCACTGGTAATCAGAAAAATAAATTTTAGAGGAGCCTGGCTGGCTCGGTCGGTAGAGCATGCAACTCTGGATCTCCGGGTTATGAGTTTGAGCCCCACGCTTGGTATAGAGTTTACTTAAAAATAAAATCTTATAACAAACAAAGAAAAACACTGAATTTTAAAAGAACAAACAGGGGCGCCTGGGTGGCTTAGTCGGTTAAGCGTCCGACTTTCGCTTAGGTCATGATCTCGCGGTTCGTGGGTTCGAGCCCCGCGTCGGGCTCTGTGCTGACTGCCAGCTCAGAGCCTGGAGCCTGTTTCAGAGTCTGTGTCTCCCTCTCTCTCTGACCCTCCCCTGCTCACGCTGTCTCTCTCTCTCCTAGAAATAAAAAAAAAAAAAAAAAAAAAAAAAAAATTAAAAGAACAAACAAAAACTCGTTCCCTGAAAGGAGGGGTCAATTTCTTGCTTCATTTATACAGTGGGTTTTAATGCAAAAAGAAATATGAACCCCCCCATGAGGAATGAGTTATCATACATCTCCACTAAAATCAAGTCTAAAATTTCAGACTTATCCAGTAGTGAAGTCCACAATAAAACAAAATGATCAAGACCAGTGTCCCAAATTTTCTAGAAGTAGATGATGGCATGGCCTGAAATCTATGTATCTGGCTTTTCCCATTTCTTCTTACAAAGTTAAAAGGCAGAGAGTTAGAATAAAAGTGAAGTCCCACGCACTCATAAACCCTGGGGAAAGAAACAATCATAGGAGTAATCAGAGGAATTTGAGCACCAGTGACTGAGTTTGTTAATGTGCTTCAGGGATGAGGTTTACAGAAGAAAGCGAACTCTTTTAGAAGCCTGTGATTTGGTTATAACACCAGAGCAGTGGGTTCGGTCTCAGAGTGGTATTCCCAGACACACAGTGGCAGCCTCACTTGAAAACTTGTTAGAGATGAAAATTCTTAGGCCTACCCGAGACTCACTGAGTGAGAACTTCTGGCAGTGGAGCCCAGCAATCTGGTTTCAGAAGCCCTCTAGGTGATTCTGACACCTCTTCAGATTTGAGAAGGATACTTTGAAATGGCCAAGAGACCAATGTCCACAAGCCTCTCCTATGCCCCCATGGAAGGATTCCCACAATGCATCACTGAAAGTCACTTAGACAAGACTTTGCCCCACCTGGCTCTCCTACAGTATAACCACCCCTGGCTGCCTCCACTAACTGAACAGGAGTAACTGGTATAAGTTTGGAGAAAGCCATGCTCTGGGCCAGACTCCAACAGCTTACGCCATCTCCCAGCCCAATCCAGTCTGTGGTTGCCATGAAGATACCCATATGATTTATTTTACTGAAAAATCCATTAGTCATACTGAAAGAGATATCATGAATTTATAGAGGTTGCTCATGATGAAATGGGCTCACATTTGGTCAGTTAATTACTGTACAGAAGTTTTGGGATCCTTGAGGACCAAGTACTTTATGAGAGTAAAGAATAGTTTAGTTTTCAAAATGCTTTGTCATATATTAACTGAGTTTGAGTATTCTCTAAAGTTTGCAAAGAAAAAGTATAAATGGAATGACTTGACAGCTTATTTCTGGTGACAAAGCAGAGGCTCCTAACTCTCAGGATAGTGCTCCTGTATGGGACCAATAGGCACTTCCAGTGTAGGGTCAGGAAAAAGAGGAAGGAGGAAGGAAAAAGGCAGACAGGGACTGATGGACTGAGAACCAGCCAGCATGGGGACAGACAGGCCGGGGAAAGTGGTGAGCCTGTAACCATTCTGGAGAACAACCTGTGGCAATTTTTACCTTCTAGGATTTGATGGACCCTGGAGTCCCGCACATACTGCTGAACAGCATAGTCCTTCAGGTAGCCATAGCCTCCATGCATCTGTAAAGCCTGGTTGCAGATCTGCAGGTAGATAGGGATTTTGGGAAGACTATGGAACAAGTCTTCTTGGAACTATGGAACTATGGAACAAGACATCTCTGATTTTGGGAAGACTATGGAACAAGTGGCTTCTCCTTCCACTCCAGCCCCCAATCTGGCAGCCTGACGTAAACTAATATGAGGAAGAACAACCTACAGATAACCAGCCAAACTCAAAAAGGGGCTCTGTATTCTGCGTGGTTGGACAACAGCTACTCAACTTACCAGTTCCCACCAGGCAGGTAACTCAGAGATCTCTGCCTTTCTTGCTTATTATCTGCAGGGGAGAGGTTGCCCACAAGCACTTTGGCTGGGATTATGTGAAGCCATGGTGTCATCTAGTGGCAACGCAGCCTCATGGGGAAATGGCTTTGCCCTCGGCATTTTAAACACAGCATAGTGCTAAATTGGAACAAGAGGCACTGGAAGGCTCTGAACCTTCTTCCAAAAGTAGTGCCTCATCTAGAACACAATCAAATGACACTACCATAATGGAGTATGTAATGGCACAGGGCAGGTAAAAAGTCAGCTCCCAGGACGACCTCTCTTTTGTTCATTTATATCCTTAAGCCCCAAGGCAATCTCTGCAGAATCTGAAGAGTCAACATCCCTGGACCCAGCAGCTTCTCCCTGTCCACCCAAGACAGCCAGAGGGCATCATCACGCACAGCAAAGCATTCATCCGTAGCGAAAAGCTTGGCCATGGAGCACATGGCCACTGCATCTTCCCGCTCCTGCTGCAGAGCCACCGCTGCACTGCGGATGATCAGCCGTGAGGCCACCAGCCTTGTTGCCATATCAGCCAGTTTGAATTGCAGGTACTGCAGCAACAGGGGAGAAGAGAACCAGACAAGACAGACAGGCTTAGACCAGCACCTGATCTGGGGACCTCGATAAGCCTTCTCTGATGAGGTACCTTTTCTAAGTGACCCCAAGCTTCAAAGTCTCCTGCCTTTTCTAGAGAAAATGTATAGCCTTGTGAGTTCTAAGACCACTTCGCTTGCCCTGCACTTCAATATTACTTCCTGAAAAAGATTACTGATAAAATTAGAACACAAGTTCTAGGACAGGGGCAGAATTCCAACGAGAAATCACAGCCTCACCCTCCTAGAGGAGGTGGACCCCAAAGCAGGTGTCACACAGAGCTGAAAGCAAATGCAGGGGCATCTGGGAAATGACCTGGTTACTGGCCAAAGGCTCTCCAAACTGCTTCCGAACGTTGAGGTAGTCTCGGGTGAGGATGACTGAAGCATGAGCAGCTCCTAGAGAGCAGGAGGCTGGAAAGGAAAAGCGCCAACATTTCAAGTGAGCCAGCACAGTGCTGCCTGCTGGAGCCCGCTACCTCCCTACCCCATATCCTGTGTGTTCTCACCAACATTGATCCTCCCTCCATTCAGTCCTTTCATGGCAATGACGAAGCCCTGCCCCTCGTCCCCAATTCTGTTGGCCACAGGGACTGCACAATCTTCAAAGATCACGGCGCGGGTTGGCTGTGAGTTCCACCCCACCTGGCAAAAATTAGGGACTGTATGGCTGTCCAACAGGGCAGCGTTTAGGGTACCGTTCTCTGTCTATGAAACCCTGTGAAGTACAGGTTCCATTATCCTGGGACTTAGACCTTGAGAACTTAAACTCAGAGAAAACACAAAGGTTCAGGCTTAAACACTTGTCAACTGTCATAAGTTGTTTTTTCAGTGAAACATTTTTTAACATATTATCTGCTTTCGTATGTCTACTTCACCAGACGCCTATCCATAAACATTTTTCACAATTTCTTTGAGGATTGGGGCAGGACTGTCCTTGTTTTTAGTGCCCCTACAAGTATGTTCTTTAAAAAAAAAAAAAAGGAAGGGGGCACCTGGGTGGCACACTCAGTTAAGTGTCCAATTTTGGCTAAGGTCATGATCTCACAGTTCGGGAGTTAGAGCCCCACGTTGGGCTCTCTGCTGTCAGCACAGAGCCCCTTCGGGTCCTCTGTTCCCTTTCTCTCTGCCCCTCCCTCTCTCTCTGCCCCTCTCCTGCTTGTGTGTCCTCTCTCTCTCTCAAAAATAAACAAACATTAAAAAAAAAAACATAGACAATATAAGGATTATTTGATTTGTCCTTCCATAAGGACAACGTAAGGATTATCAAGAACAACAGTTAACTTCTCCTTTTAAAAGCTTAGTGTTCTTCTAAGATTTTTATCGTTAGATGAGAGGAATAATACTCATTGTGGCAATACTTGGTTGAGCATTTGGCTGCAGAGAGACCTAATGACGTGCTGTCAGCAGCTCACATGAGGCAATTACACACATCTTTTCCTAATGTGGCATTTAGTGACAGCAGGTTGGTGGCCTTACATATGAGTGTTTTGGTTTTTGTTTTTCCTAGAGAGCTGATTTACCAGCTGACATCCTTGAATGTCAGCCACGAGCCCAGAGAAAATTCTGAATATCTTTTTTTTTTTTTTTTAATGTTTTATTTATTTCTAGGAGAGAGAGAGAGAGACAGCGTGAGCAGGGGAGGGTCAGACAGAGAGGGAGATACAGACTCTGAAACAGGCTCCAGGCTCTGAGCTGGCAGTCAGCACAGAGCCCGATGCGGGGCTTGAACCCACGAACTGCGAGATCATGACCTAAGCGAAAGTCGGACGCTTAACCGACTAAGCCACCCAGGCGCCCCGAAAATTCTGAATATCTAAGATGTAGTCCATGTTATGAAACTAATCACCTCTGAACAAATCACTTGGTTTCTTTGGGGCCTTAGTTTTCCTTTATGTAAGAGAACTGGTCTGGAAAGCCAGCAGAGCCACTTTCTTCAAATAAAATCTTATTCAGAGCTCTCATATATAAATAGATAGAGGCCCTCACAATTTTATCCCCTTCAATCTTTTTTCGAGGTACTCCAAGGTTTCAAAGAATGCGAAGGCTTGATGAGGCAGTTTTGAAGAGCGTAAGTCTATATAAAATCTCCCACTTTCCCTGTAGCTCTGTAAACACTACTTATGTGACCATTTCCTTACATAAAAACACTCAATAGCTCCCTCTGTTGGTAAATAAACTTTATTCCTCAACCTTTCATTTAGGGTCTTCTATAATTTGGGCCGGTCCTTCTTTCACAGCCTTCTCTTCTATTGCTCACCCACTGGTCCAGTCAACTGGCCTGCATACTGTGCCTCTAGGTTTTTTTTCAATCCATATCTTGCTTATTCTGCTCTACTGGGAAGAGTCCTCAGGCCCAATCTCTGTATCAAAGTCTGACTTAAATGAAACCTCCTGAGGCTTTCCAGGTCACTTGAGCCAACACTCAAGTGACTCTCAGGCTCCCATAATCTCTATAAATCTCAAACCTCCCAATATTGGCCTGTATGAGGGTTACTTGAGAACTTACCTCCCCAAATAAACACCTGAAAGAAGACTGGAACAAAAACTTTATTATTATTATTATTTAAATGTTTTTTATTTATTTCTGAGAGAGAGAGAGAGAGAGAAAGAGAGACAGCGTGAGCAGGGGAGGGTCAGAGAGAGAGGGAGATACGGAATCTGAAGCAGGGTCCAGGCTCTGAGCTAGCTGTCAGCACAGAGCCCGACGCAGGGCTTGAATCCATGAACTGTGAGATCATGACCTGAGCCAAAGTTGGACGCATAACCGACTGAGCCATCCAGGTGCCCCCAAAAATGATTATTTTAATAATATTTCGGGGCGCCTGGGTGGCTTAGTCGGTTAAGCGTCCGACTTTCGCTCAGGTCATGATCTCGCGGTTCGTGGGTTCGAGCCCCGCGTCGGGCACTGTGCTGACTGCCAGCTCAGAGCCTGGAGCCTGTTTCAGTCTGTGACTCCCTCTCTCTCTGACCCTCCCCTGCTCACGCTGTCTCTCTCTCTCCTAGAAATAAATAAAACATTAAAAATAATAATAATAATAATAATAATATTTCTAAACAGCCCATAACAAATACCTACTACCTCTTTACTTCTAAACCCTTAACTTCCTCCTCTATGCAGAGAATTCCTTTCCTAATCCTATCTGGGGCCCTGGGGAGCTGTAGCCAGTGAGAACAGATATCCCTTCTCCCTTTCTGAAGGCCTTGAACTGCTGGACCACTACCACTAGAGCCCATTCCTTCTATCACTCTTGACTTTTGTCCTACATATTATCTTCATTCCCTCTTCTGAGAGTCCTCACTTCCAGCCCTCCAATCACAAAACTCATTCTTCTTTACAAAACCTTTTAACAATTAAATCCAAGATAAAGTCCTCATTATGTTTCCATAAAGTCAATGCAAAACTAGTAGTTTAAAGCTCTCAGTTAAATATGCCAAGTGTTAAAATATTTGTTAAATATACCAAGTCACAGCTTGTGCTTGCAGGAAAGGTAGCACGGAACAGGGAGAAAAAACACCTGCCTGCATCACCAGAACATCCAGAATATCCAGAATGTGGGGATCAATGGGGTGACTCTTCATCTCAGCCTACCAGGACCTACCTGCTGTCCAATTTCATCCTACAGAATTCTTTGCTCACTTCCCTAGGCCATACTGAACATCTTTGTTTGTTTGTTTCCCAAATAGACCATCTGTCTATTTGTTGTCTCTGCCCAGAGTTTTTCCTATGGTTGATCCCTCTAATATACTTGGGATCTCATCTCAAAAGCCATGACTTCTCAGAGTCCAGGTCTATTGTAGAAGCTCTCAAGCTCTCCTCAATCAGTATCCTATCAACCTGTTTTATCTCCTCTGTAGCACAGAACACTTCCAGCAGGCATACTGCTTACTCATCTGTCTGTGGCTTGTCCTCACTTGCTGAAAGGTTAATTGCATGGGGGCAGATCTTACCTCTGTTCACTGCTCCACCCCTACTGTTTAAAAGAATGCTTGGCAGACAGTGGGCACTCACCAGCTGTCGAATGAATAAAGAGATGTCCTTCCAGATATCCCTTACATTAAAACATATATGAAGCAAAACTAATAATTAAAACTGATAAGAGAAAAGGAAAATGCATGCACTTAAAAAGTGAGAGAAAATAGAAAATGAAGGGAAGAAAAGATACACTTTTTGCTTCTGGAACTTATTTGCAACTTTTCTTTAGGCACTACACCTGATAGCTTTGGTACTCTGTCAACAGATACCACAAATACTGAGGTGGATACTACCTTTGTGTGTGGAAACAATCATCACTACCTTTATAAGCACAGACAACCTGAATCAGCAGAACTCGATCCTGTAAAATTATGTGTCAGACTATGTAAGTCAGTCTATGTCCTATGACCCAAAGCAGACATTCCTAGAATTAAGATAATCTTCAGCTGTATATCTTCACATATACAGCTTAGATACCTGATTAACATAAGACAGCATATGTCTTATAATTTCAGACAAGGCTAGGAGTGACTTTTGTATCCTCCCCAGCCCGGGGGCCAACATCAGGATTTGTACATAGCGGGAATCTAGTAAAAACCTACTATCCTGTAAAAGAGAAGGGGCACTAAGACCTCTGACTCTTTGGCAGTTTATAAAATATCAGGAAGGCTCATGAAGGGAAATATGGAAAGCCTAGGAGCTATAAACGAAGTATATTTACTGGTCATTTCATTACCTGACTTCTCCCCCAAAGTCCTAACTATAACAGTATATATTGGAGGCAGATGACAATTCTGTTCACCTGCCCTAACAAATCTGAATGGTCTCATCTTACCACCGGCTACAGTTATGTAATCACAGTTTTACTGTTCATGGCCTGGCTAGGGGATTCTTTTTTTTTTTTTAACCACTCATTTATGCGTTTTTATTTGGTAATATTTCTATCAGCACACTACAACTAAATTTTAGAGACACTGGATATATTAGTTTGGATATCGTTAGTTTATTATAAAAGAGAGACATTAAAATTATTTACATGATGAAAGATTTCACAACTTCACTGAAATGGGCAGCTTCACTTCATGCTATTTCAATAATGACTTATTTCAGTCTACATACTTTCTGAGAATGTCACCATCTCTAAATAAGAAATAATCCTTGTCATCTAGAACTACTTTGGTGCCTCCATATTCTGGGAGAAGAACTTTATCTCCAACTTTCACACTGACTGGCTGAATTTCTCCACCCTTTCCTTTAGAGACTGATCCAACAGCTACTAAAGTTGATTACAAAAATTTACCTTGAGATTTTTCTGGAAGCATAATGCCTCCTTTGGTTACAGTTTTGGCTGCACTCCTTTCAACTAAAACTCGGTCAAAGAGGGGAAGAAACTTTCTAAATGCTTGTCCTGCCATGACTCTGGCCACTGTAGTTCCTACTCTGCTCTGGAGCTGCCGCCGCTGCAAGGAGACCCGCAGTCCCTGGCTGGGGGATTCTTAATCCTAGAAATGTCTTTCCAAAGCACCTATGGAAACACTCTCCTTCTTACATTATTGAAATGCCCACAATCATCAGCAGTGAGTTTTATAGAAGAAAAGTGGCTGATAACGCTTTTCATTTCTGAGACTTCTAGTCATCAACAGATCTTCTCTAAGTATTTCTTCCTGGGATAATAGAATGCACGAAAACAGGAATTTGGACAAGAAACTCAGGTTAGGGACTGTGGCTGGGTGGCTCAGTCAGTTAAGCGTCCAACTCTTGATTCTGGCTTAGATCATGGCCTTGCGGTTTGTGAGTTCAAGCCCTGCATTGGGTTCTGTGCTAACAGTGTGGAGCCTGCTTGAGATTCTCTCTCTACCTCTCTCTCTGCCTCTCCCCTGGATCGCACTCTTTCTCTCTCTCTCTCTCAAAAATAAATAAACTTTAAAAAAATTAAATTAAAAAAAAAAAACACAGGTCAAAAAGTATGTGAACCTACTCAATGAGAACAAATAGAACAGAGGTCAGTCTGGCAGATTCTTTAATTGCTTGACCTTGAATTGCTTCATGTCCATTAGCCACTCACCTTTTTTTCCTTCTTGCCAAAGCTGAGGCCAGGGGTCCCCTTTTCAACAACTATACACGAGATGCCTTTGGGGCCTGGTCCTCCTGTTCGGCACATGACTACATAGATGTCTGATTCACCTCCACCACTGATAAAGGCCTGGTGGTTGGAGAGGGGGTGCACAAGGATCAGAAAACACATGCATTCCTGTAGCCTAACAACTGGGAAAACAATTAGGGTCCTCTCTAGTAGGTTGCTAAGAGGTATATGATGATACAGAGAAATGAAGAAGGGGTAAAAAGAACCTGTGCTGACTGGGGATTCGGGGATCTACCTGATGACACTATAAAAACGACAGACAAAAGTGAATGAAATTATCTGGACTCCGATCAGAAGAAAGAGAAAGCGGGCCATCTGTGAGGTTCAGTCGGTTAAGTGATTGAATCTTGATCAGGCCATGATCTCACCGTCACTGAGACGGAGCCCGGTGTTGGGCTCCTCACTGAGCATGGAGTGTGCTTGGGAGTCTCTCTCCCTCTGCCCCTCCCCTACTGGCGCTCTCTCCCCCACTCTCAAAATAAATACATGAACTTAAAAAGAAAAAGAGAGAGAAAATGAAGGTTAATAAAGGGAAACGGGTCAGAGGTTCTCTACCCAACATGTTCAAGTCCTAGAAAATATTAACTCACAGATAGCAAGGATCTAGGTAATATCAGCAGAAAGATGGGAGCAATCTCCAAGTTTTCCGTAAGGGGGCATGCTGGTACCTTGGAGCCATTGAGGATGTAATGATCTCCTTGTCGTTTCGCTGAGGTCAAAAGGGAGGCAGCATCGCTGCCACTTCCTAAGGCAGGGATCAAAAGGAAGCAAAGAGGGTGGGAGAGAAATTCAGTGAAGTTAAGGGAGATCCAGCACAGCTCCACTTCCAAGGAAATCTTCCCTTACAACAAAGAGCTCAGCATTTCCTACTCTGAAATGTAGACAGCTAAAGGGATTCTCTGTATTTGGTAAAAACGGTACACAGCAATCTGACCATTTTCCATCTCCCAGGACACTGGTTTGGCATGAGCCTCCTACAAGGAAGTTCCAGTCTACAGCCTGGAGAGACTCTGGCCTACAGGCCTCTGAGTCTTGTGATATCAGGCCATGGGAGTGTGCTATGCCATGACTGAACCTCACGGTAAATAGGAGTCATATGCGTCAACAGGCTGAGAAGAAGTGCTCAGTGATTTTGCCTGAGCAGTGTCTCCTGATTTGTCTCGCTGGCAGTGTGGCAAACCCACCTGGTTCGGTGAGGCAGTAGGAAGCGAACTTCTCCATGGTACAGAGCGGTGGGCAAAATTTGTACCTCTGTTCCTCATTTCCAAACGTATCAATCATCCAGACACACATGCTGACAGGTACATCAAAAAAATAAAAGACCAAAAAGGAAAAAAAAAAAAAAAAGAAACAGCAATGACAGAGTTAATACAGAGAAAAGGACATCTCAATGGGGAAGGTCTGGGGAAGGAGAACACAGGCAGTAAATCAGAGTGAAGAGAGTGGGAAGAAAAGAGCTGCCACTGAGAAAATTCAACTTTAAAGGAAAGGCCTAGGTTAAAACATATTCCCGGAACACATACCACACATGGATAATCAGGGCCAAGGTATTTCAATTGGATTTCATGCTACTTCTAGTTAGGTTCAATGAGGTCCCTAAAAATCAAAGAGTTATATATGTACTTTTGCAAATTCCTGGAGACTTTGTCTTTCGGTTGAGAAAGAAGGGATGAGGACTCTGACCACTGTCCTAGAGAAGTCTATTTGGTTTCAGCTCAATCTAGGATTTGAGAGAAGGCTGACTGACCTCATTCTCTAAGCAACATATAACATGACAGATTCAAGTCCAAGAGGCAATAGCAGACCTAGTGTGAAGTTTTACAGTCAGTTCCTCAACGGTAGTCAACCTTCAAAGATGAACTTTTCCCTCTTTATCTGAAATTTCCTAGTCAACCCGTACTAGCACTTCAGTGTGCTCACCGAGCTTTGGCACTCACTTGTGGATGCTTATATAGGCTGTGGTGCTGGTACAACCTGTAGCCAAGGCTTCAAAGATGACAGATGTATCGAGCCGGGATAGTCCAGATCCACCTACGTCTGTTCGTACATAGACCCCCCCAAAGCCTAGCTGAGCAGCCTTCCGCATCGCGTCCACTGGGAACAGTTCCTATGTACAAAAGAAAACAGGGTCATCAGTAAATGAGTCACAGACGGACTTTTCTTTAAAGGGCACAATGAAGGATTAAGATGTTTGCATTGGGGAGAGTGTAGTATTCCCTTCAGGCTGTTTGTTACCTATAGCTGTTAAAATGCATTCTATAAGTACTGGTTTTCTAGTATTAAAGTTTCTTTTTTTTTTTTAAATTATTTTAATGTTTTATTTATTTTTGAGAGAGAGAGGCAGTATGAGCAGGAGAGGGACAGAAAGAGAGGGAGACATAGAATCCGATGACAGGCTCCAGGCTCTGAGCTAGCTGCCAGCACAGAGCCTGATGCGGGGCTCGAACCCACAAACCGCAAGATCATGACCTGAGCTGAAGTCGGACGCTTAACCGACTGAGCCATCCAGGTGCCCCAAAAGTTTCTTTTTATTATCAGTTGGACTGCTTTGGTTTTAAGAGTATAAAATCTTTGTACAATTAAAAAATTACTGGTCTTGGGGCACCTGGGTGGCTCAGGCAGTTAAGTGCCCAACTCTTGAGTCTGGCTCAGGTCATGAACTCATAATGGGGAATGGAGCTCCACATTAGTTGACAGTCCAGAACCTGCTTGGGATTTTTTCTCTCCCTCACTCTTTGCCCCTCCCTGACTCGCACGCACTCTCTCAAAATAAATAAACATTTTAAATAATTAATTAATTGATTAATTAAAAAACTGGTCCCTATAAGATGATGAGGATGCTTTCTGAGAAAGGAATCACACCATTATCAGTACTCTCATCTGTAGTAAGAGTTCTGCATGGAGAATAAACACTGAAGAGTCAGGACTACAAGGAGGTCAAAATAAAGGTCACCATATGAGGCATTTGTTGGAACATCTAGCGACAGAAAAGAGAAGTCCCACCTTTTGGTCCCACTCTGCCATATGTGGTGCCATCTCCCGGGCAGCAAAGTCAAAGGCCACTTTCTGAAATTCCTTCTGCTCTTCATTTAGTCCCAAGGAAGCTGTGGGCAAGACATTCAGTTCCAGGACAGGGGCAGGGAAAGTTATTGCCAAGACAAAGAACCATGAAGTTGGGACAGCATTTCTCTTACACATCAAGATAAGAGATGTCTTCATTGTTAATGTCTTAGTCATTAATCAAAAATGATTAACATCTTAATACTTTTTCACTTATTAAAATATTATATTTAATTACAAATATTATATTAACAAAGAAATATTTGTTAATCACTCCCATTAACTTGATATTCTAATATGTGGAATGATACGTTAAAGGACAATTTCCTTTAATTTTACCAATTGATACTTTTTTTTAAAAAAGGTGAAAAAGTACCTCATTGGTTGAAGTTATACAACTAGCTGCTGGAAGTACTCCAACATATTTAACTTATTTGTTATTTAATATTTAATATTAACATATTTAATATTTAATCTATTTGTTGCCAGAACAACTCCTTACCTCCTTTGGTATCAGCAAGGGTGACTTTCTTTACCAAATTCTAGTTGCTAGAACAGGGCAGCACCTTGTGAAGGAGTTTTAGGACATGGAGAAGAAACCAGTATTGTATACTAGTCTATATTATAGATCCTGGGTGTAATCTGAGGGATTCATCACCTATTCTATAATTAAAAAGTGTCATTTATTCAAAAGCTTTTTTTTCCCCCCAGAAGACAAAACATGGTTAGAATCACAAAGTGGCTGGGGATCTATCCCTCATCAGCCTAGGCCCCCATCACTCCCTGTTCCTCACATCCAAATTTTTTGTCTGGTGCCTAAAAACATTTGGGTCTGTCAGTTCTGGTAGTTTCCCACTTGCAATAATAATTATTTTCCCCACAGGAATTTCAACAATAAAAGGCTTTAGGTGTTAAGTCATACAATTTACGTGAGCAAATCTTGTATCAGTTAAGGAAGGAACGTTCCTTCACCTAACACAACCAGCACCAGGCTTTTTACATTCTTACTACTTTTATGACCTTAAATGACCTGTGATTAAAACAAAATAAAATGAAACAAAGTCACAAGTTTCTGCACCTCTCTATGCATCCACTCCTTATCAGGAAGCAGGGATAGTAACAGAACCTACCTCAGAGTTGGGAGGATAATTGTAAAACCCTTAGTTACTGTTTTCACAAGTAAACTTATTAAATGTGGTATCAAGACATTGATAATACCAATACGTTTAAGGAGATTTGAACAATTAACAAAGAGCAGCAGCAGCAAAGATTAAGCTGTAACTACAAAGTATTTTCCTATCTTAATATATCTTCAGAGGGCCCCTGTGAAGTAGGCAGGAGGCTTAAGAGCCAGCGGACCGCCTGGAGCACAAGTTCGGACTCCTGGCTTCCCATCCACTGAGGGCATGGGGTGAAGAGTAATAGACAAGGGCCAGGGGCGATAAAGATGGAAACAGCAGAGAGTGGAGGGCGGCCAGGGAAGCCAGCCAGGTGGACGGGATGGGGAGACCGGCCAGCGACTGAGGCCGACTCGGGAGCGGGCAGGTGGGCCTGGGGGTGATGGCCCCCGGTGACCCTCCGCAACGATCCAGGGGGTGAAAATGCGCTCTACAGGCGCGCAGACCATGGCAATCCCTCCGCGTCCGGGGCCCGGACACCTACACCTCCGGGGTGAGACTTACGATCGATACAGGAGACCAAGGTCCGGTGGCCGCTCTGGGCGGAGGCCTGCAGACCACGGCGCAGGCAGACGAATCGCCCTCCCAACCGCCAGCAGCTGCTCCGCAACATAGCCGCCTTTGCTCCAGCCAGAAGCTGCAAGTGGGTAACACTAGCTACAACCAGGGCCGGTCTCGCAGTGCACCCTGGGAGTTGTAGTGCATCCAGCGGCCCTCACAGCCAGGATTCAGGGGCACCTGCTTCAGAAGCAGGACTACAACGCCCAGAGATGCCGGAGTCTAGGCGCGCCAGAGCCAGGTCCTACTCCGTGCTGGAGGCTGCGACGCAGTGCCTCGGGTTCTGGCGCCTGGGGAGGTTGGCTGAAGGTTTCGTCTGCTGAGCCGTTGGGTCAGTTTCGTGGGAGAATGGTGAATAAATGGGAGAAGGATCAGGTTACGAACCGAAAAGACTTTAGCGGCAGGTTATGCAAGATGAAATTTTTGGTAGATAACTGGGGCAAGGATTTGACGGGCCCAAGTCCAGGTGCTTGTTTTCTCCGCAAAAGACTCCCGGGGCTGAGACTTGCTTCCTCTCATTGTCTGCATCTTGCTTTGCAGAGGTTTCTGGGGGCAGATTCAGAGTTGCCTCCTGTATTCTCCGTTGATTCCAGAATCCTCTGCACTTCAGCCCTCGCAGGAGAACCATGCCAAAACCCCGGAAGAGGCTGGCTGGGACTGCCGAGGCTGCTGGGCCAGGTGAGCTGAACCTAGGCTGCAAAAAGGGGGCTCTAATTTCACTAGGGCCTGTTTCATACCGCCCACTTTAAACTCCCTGCCTGTGGGAAGAATCCTCCTGTGGACTTTGTGTTATGTTATTCCTGATTGCCCTCCAGCTTCTTTATTCTTACTCCCAAGCTTATCCCCAAGCCTCTTCTTGTTTGCTCACAGAAGCAATACTTCTTCGCTGTGGATACAAGTGACTTGTACCAAGGTCAAGAACATACAGTTCTGCTGGGTGGCTCAGTTCACTGAGCGTCAGACATTGGCTCAGGTCATGATCTCACGGTTTGTGAGCTTGAGCCCCGCATAGGGCTTGCTCCCGACAGGGCAGATCCCGCTTCAGATCTTCTGTCTCCCACTCTCTCTGTCCCTCCCCAGCTGCCGCTCCCGCTTGCTCTCTCAAAAATAAATAAAACATTAAAAAAATTTAAAAAAAGAATATACAGTTCTGCTGTCATGGAAAATGCAAACAGATATAAGTGGAAAGGCCTAGGAAACTGCATGGCTAAGGGTGTGAGAGCAGGAAGGAACACCGGAAACGGAAGTGGAACTTGAGTCTAGCTTTAAAGAATGGGAAGGCTTTCCCCTGGAAAGAAAATGGGATGACATTTTTATATTCACAAGAATGAATGGAATTCTAAGTAGATTTAGAGCAGAAACAAAGCAATGGAAGATAGAGAACGTACTTTTGGGAATGGCAGAGGCTCCAGATTGACTACAATACATTGTGTTACTTCACAGCACTTAATGATATTTGCAGTGTGCTTACCTCCAAAGGGACCACCTGATCAACTAGGCTAGGGAGGTTCTGAGTGCTAGACACCCATACATAATACTTAATGAGGGCTGATGTAGGAGAGATGGGACTAAATTCGGAGACAGTATGGTACAGTCAGTAAGGATGGATCCAGATAGACCAGGAGACAGTTCTTAATTATACTGTTTACTAAAATGTGTAATCTGCGACACATTTAGCAGATGAACAGAATATTTTATACATTATATAGATTAACTGAGTTACTGTTAGGGCAACAGAGAGCTTAGGGTCTAAGAATTTAACAACTGTTAGCTGTTGAGTGCCTAATATGTTCCAGGAACATTTTTTCTAATTCTCTTAGGATAAAGTCATCTCTGCATGTCTACAAAGTCAAGAACTAGCTGTTTTATCCAACTTCTGGCACCTTCAAGGAGCTGAAAGGAGGCAGGCCACAAAGCACAGTGAGCAAACAAGAAAGAACGATGAGATGATAATGATAATAACAGCTAATATTTATTGAGAATTTATTATAATGCCAGGCATGTTCTAAGGCCATTGTTTGCACTATCTTATTTAATCTCCAAAACACCTCTGTGGAGTAGGTGCTCAGTTTCCTCACTGGAGAGAAATAGCCTCAGCAAGGCACTAAAGAGAGTGAGGTAAAGAAAGGAAATTACTTAACAGAAGCCAGGACTCTGCTAGGACTGTCAGTCCTAACCCACAACCATGTAAGGTATTCCTATCCCACTGAATGGATAATCCAGAAAATACCCTGTGAAGATGGGCATTCCTGTCCCATTTTTATAGATAAACTGAAGTTCAGCAATTGAGCTGCTACTGCTAGTAATTGACAGATTCCAGGATTTGAATCCAGGTCTAACTCCAAACTATGTGCTTTCCCCACAATGAAACATTACTTCTCAGCCAGCATGACCAGTTTCTTCTGTTTGCTTCTATTGCAGACAACAAGGGGCCAGCAGAAAAACGTACCAAGACTAAGAACCCAGCAGGGGCATCGTCTAAAGTGGTTAACTCCAACCCTCAGGAGACTTCAGCCTCTAAAAACTGTGGGAAGAATCTAAGTAGTTACTGGCTGATGAAGTCAGAGCCAGAAAGCCGACTAGAGAAAGGTGTAGATGTGAAGGTGAGACCAGGTACCTGTCTTTAATCCCTTCAAGCAGTTTTTTTAGATAAGAAATAAATATGGGACACCACAGAGTCCACCAGCTTCTCTGAAGGGTAGAGTTAAGGACAAGATAAGAAGAAGATAAGGAATAAAATCATCAAGGTTTATTACCAGCAACTGTCTGTTTTGTGAATCTTCTAGTTAGGGCCAGGAGTGGTTAACTTTTCATAAAAGGCCATATAATAAAAATTTTAGGTTTTCAGGTCTTCTTGTTGCTGTTGCAAGAAAGTGGTTATGGACGACATGTAAATAAATGGTATGGGTGTGTTTCAATACAACCATTTACAAAATCAGACCTAAAAGCTATAGTTTGCCAACCCAGACCTGGGCAGCATTTCAGTCTTAGGTGCCCTTACTCTTGCCACCTGCCATGCTCCTACATATCTCTCTGCCAACAGTTAGTATATATTCAGTGAATTAATTTAAACCAATTTTAATAGTAGCTTGGAGAAAACAAATATTATAGAAGATGTATTACTTTAATGAGTGAAATACAAATAACCAACAGATGACTTTATCATCTGGATTATCCAGTCAACTAATTGGTTGACAAAGGTTTACAAAGGTAACACAAGGCTTACATACACTTGCCCAACAGAAGTGGCTTTGTGGAACTACTTCCCCATAAACTACATACTCCCGCTAGAGCTAGAAGCACCCTCAGTGTAGGGGAAGAAATGATCTACTTCCATATATTTCCAGTTTGGCCCCAAATTGTTTAATGAATGGATTCATTTCCTGTTGCCTAGTTCAGCATCGAGGATCTTAAAGCACAGCCCAAGCAGACGGCATGCTGGGATGGTGTTCGCAACTACCAGGTAAGAGGGTAAAAGCAGGGCCTGAGACCCAGGTGTTGGGTAAACTCCTGCCTCCTTCCATGACTTACTCAGTAGCAAAATCTCTTAACCAATGTTGGTTTTTTCCCCGAGGTCACAAAACTGAAAATGTATTAAAAAGTACCTTCATTACTTTGCATGCAGTTTGCAAACTGGTCTGTGTTGTGGCCAGGGTCTGGATACAAGTCTGGGTGTCTTGGCAAAGTCAAGTATTGAACTGAGTTAGGGAGAAGCTGCAGAAAAGAAAACCTCATCTAATGAAAGCAGACTTGATTTCTGCTAACAGGGTTTTCCAGTGGGTGAGGAGGATAGTTACTTGTTTATTCTCCCCTGGGACAGGCCCGGAACTTCCTTCGAGCCATGAAGCTGGAGCAAGAAGCTTTCTTCTACCATAGCAACTGCAAAGAGCCAGGCATTGCAGGACTTGTGAAGGTCAGTTGTATAGGCGTCAGTCTTAATCCCTCTCCCTTCAGGGAAACTTACTCATGTAGCTATAAAGGAACACAGCTTAAATCAGTAACAAAAAAGAAGTACCCTACTCCCCATCCCTGATGTCACCACCCCAGCCTATTCAATACAAGGACTATAATAAGGCCTTCATCTCAGGTCGCACTGGTACAGACTTCTCTTCATTTCCGTGCCTTGGTCTTTCACGCAAAAACAGGCCTGATGATAGCTCTTCCAAACCAGAGGTTACTAGGATAAAATTAACTGCAGGTAGAAAGACAGTGGCACCAATAATAACCGTTAACACTTGGTTTTAGAATATTACTTTTAAGATTTTATCAAAACAAGGTTGATTCCTATGCTTGCTCTAGCCCGTGTATTATTTCCTGATATCTGAGCCTTCACTGGCTCTACAGCAAGGCAGAAGAGGTGAGAATGTGCAGGATCAGAAGTGAAAGTCAGACTTGAATTAAAAATTGGCCATGGAGCTGTCTGTACAGGCAAGTGATTGGAGACTTGGTTTTGGTTTCAGATTGTGAAGGAAGCTTACCCAGACCACACACAATTTGAGAAAAACAATCCCCATTATGACCCATCCAGCAAAGAAGACAACCCCAAATGGTCCATGGTAAAGAATACTCTTTTTCCTATTTCATGAGAGGAAAAGAATGGAAAAAGAGGGGGAGGAAGAAGGGTGGGGTGTCTTTAGGTCAAGGTACAGAGTCCAGCTCTTACTCAGATGATGTTACCCTGGCTTTGGGAATAGGAACGGAACACTGGCACCCCTGTCTATAAGACCTCCCATAAGAAGCTAACATACACAATGGACAGAATCTACCTGCATGTGTCTTTCTGTCCCATACACCTTCTGTCACATAGGTGGATGTTCAGTTTGTTCGGATGATGAAGCGCTTCATCACCCTGGCTGAGCTCAAAACCCATCACCAAGCTCACAAAGCTACTGGAGGCCCCTTAAAAAATATGGCTCTCTTCAGTCGCCAGAGACTCTCAGTTCAGCCCTTGACCCAAGGTAAGAGTGGGCCCTTTCCTTTATATTTACTCACATACCAGAATGACTCCATGAACTCACATTTATTATTGATTAAACTTGGGCACAGCACTTAACCTCTCTGAGCCTGTTTCCTCACCTATAACATCCACAAGGGAGGAAATAATGTCTGGAGTTACTCATTACTATGTACCCGGTACATAGTAAAACACTCCATAGTTTTTGAATGAGTGACAACCTACCTCAGTAACAATATGAAATGTCTGGCACAACTTCCCTATTCAAGAGGAGACACCCCACCTAATTCTTTGCTTTCTTTTCCCTCTTTTTTGGTAGAGGAGTTCGATTTTATTTTGAGCCTGGAGGAAAAGGAACCAAGTTAAGTGGGACACTGTTGCTGGAATAGGCAAGACATTATTCCAAAGAAGTCAAGCTTTTGTACGACAGAAGGAGGTGTGAGGAGGCTTTTTTTGTCATGTTCACCTGGGGTTGTGTACGTAGGTGATTTTCATGTACCTTTTCCAATAAAACGTTAATATCAAAGTTGGGAAGCTTTTCTTTTAAAATAGCACTGGGTGTGGTAGAATACTCCACTGCAGATCTTCTGCCCCTCAGTAAGATGCAGGGTTGCCGTCTACCATCTTCCTTTACTGTAGCAAATACCAGGGTGCAGGGTTCCATCTGTTACTACCTACTGAAATGAACTTTTGTCTTTCTACACCAGCCTTCTTCAGCTGCCCGCAAAGTTATCTGGGTCTCAAAGGGCTTTAAACCATCAGCAACGTCAGCACAGGTTGCCAGATGAGGATACAGCTGGAATTCCTTTCTTAGCATGCGCTTAATCTAAAATGAGTGTGAATACAACAGGGGCCGCAGCCACAGAGAGGGGAGATGTGTTGCATCAGGGTGGAGGTCTGTCTCCCCTTTTGTGTGAGTGGGACAATGTAAGAAGAAACCACAGAACCTGGTGAACCATGGGCACAATGCCTCCAAGCCACAGGGGCTTGCTTTAATCAGAGAGACAATTGAAACAAGTGTTCTTTTTCTTTCTTTTTTTTTAAAATACAGCCATTGAAAAGACGACACATTAAGAAATATGTAAACACTGCAGCTGCTTAATTACAAGTTGCACTGCTTGGTTTAGTACCTATGCACTCCCAGGTATGGGGACCTTTAAAGGAGGGGCGGGCCCTCCTCTCACTTCGACAGTCGCACAGAGAAGTAAAGAGAATAGGGGCAGAGTGAGAGAAAACAGAAGACCTGGCTTGTGCACAGCTCCTGAGAGAATAAAAGCAAATTCTATCTTCTAGTTCTCCCAGAAAAAATGTTTAAGATGTTAGGAAAGTTGGAAAATGAATTTCGGTTATCATTTGGGAGGCAGAGGAACTAACAGTTTCTTTCTAGTTAGAATACCTGCTATTATGGGAGGCACACCAGAGCCTAATCTCATGATCTGGAAAAGGCAAGGAGCACACCATCTGCCTCCCCCATATCCTTAAACTCCAACCTTGATAATCCAGGGGCAGCTGGATGGGTGATCCTCTTCCCATGAGATTGTCCATCGCACCTGAACTCGGGGTCTGGCATGGGGGGAGCCACCTTACTTTCCGTGGTTCTGCTGTCCCCAATCTCTACTGTCATCCCAGTGTCTTCTCCCCCCAGTCTCAGTCCTAACCCGTGAGCCCTGCCCAGTCAGAGGCTCACGACTGCACTGATTTCTGAGGAAAAGAGGAGTCCCCGTTTTCTACACGAAAAGATGACAAAGGAACCAAACCCCCTGCTTTCCAAATTATAGAGAACTCAGACCCCCAGATATTGGGCTCATTGGCCAGTGGGGTCTGGCTGAAGGGAAGGGAGGCCAACAGGTCATTTCCAGATGAGGCAGAAAAGGATGTCAACACCTTTACTCCAATAGGCCCGAGCACAGTGCAATAGAGGGAAGGTCCCCTCTTCTTTAGCATAACAAGAATACCCACAAGAGTTTTTGTATGTTTGTAAATAAAAACATCAATGGTCCTAAAGTCTGGTCAGTCAACTGGTGAAGGTGAAGACATAATTTGGCAAGCAGAATTATTCTGAAGTTGTGTAGCAGGGTCTTCTGTTGAGGCTCTCCTCTCCCTCCTAAAACTCAGAGAGTGAAGAGGTGTGGGCAACAGTAAGAACAAAACTTACAAGCCCCACTTCCCACAAATTAAATAAAGGGAGAGCAAGGAGTGATGAGGATCCATTCTTAGGGAAGCAAATGGATCAAGCCCTTCCCGGGATCTCTTAAAGAAAACACATGCCCTTGTCTGGGCTTGCTGTGGCACACAGCAGTACCCCAGAGCCACTCAGCCCTTGGGGCTGGAGAGTGCAGTCATGGGGGGTGCAGGCAGACTGCCACCACACACAGTCACCATACTTTGGGCTCAGCCTTCTGTGTCCAACACTGCTGCCATCCATGCATGACACTAACCCCAGGGTGTCTCTGTGCCCAGAATTTCTCACAGGTGAGGGGACAATAGCCAAAGGCCCTTTCACAAGCTTCTGTTCCAGGACGTTACTGACAGGAGTCCGCAGAAGATGGAGAAGGGAGGTGCCTGGGTCCCAGCAGTGAGAGAAAGGCCAGAAAGGAGGTGGCTTGTGGAAACTTCAAAGCACCACATCCAAGACTCCCAAAAGAGGTAGCTTCCTGATCTTGAGTCTCCCCTCTGCTATTTAGGATGGGGCAGGCCCAGCTTCTTCTGCCACTACCTCAGACACAGCAGAGGGGAGAATAAGACAGGACTACCCTCCGGCCCCACTGGCAGCTCAGAATCCCAGGGACATGCTCAGATCCTGTATGGGGAAGCTCAGAGACCCAGGAGCCAAGGATACCTACTCTGTGCTCCCCTGTAACATGTGAGGCAGCCCCCCATGGAAGGCCTCGACAGAAGGCTCTTTTCCCTAGAGAGACCAGCTACCAGGATGTTACCTCTCCCTGTTCCCACATCAGCCGCAGAATCTCAAGGGGACTGCCTCCCAACCCAAGCCCCTTAGGTTCTTCAGAAAAAAGAATTTAAGTCAAAACATGATTTGTTTTCAGGTTGCAAGTAACGGGTCAGTTGAGCATCACACCGTCCTCCCCTCCCCCAGCCGCTGGTGTTTGGTAGACGGGGGTGCTGGGTGGAAGCCCAGCAGCTTCTTGGCCCTGGGGGCCTACTGCCTGCTGTTGTTGTCAGATAGCTGGCTGGGGTTCTGCACCTCACCCAGGGAGGTTGTGCCCTCGAAGCGCTGTGAGGCGATGGCTGCCTGATGGGACATGCTCTTCCGTACAATGTCACCCTTCCGCCACAACACCACTTCCTGCAGAATTGGGAGAAGGAGGCAACACGATACTTTGAGAGGGAGGCACAGGGGTGGGGTTCCCAGAGGCTCCAACTTTTCCCAGGAATCTTAGCAAAACTTCGGCTCCTCTCTCACCAAAGATAGGCATTGTCCATACCACCCAGGGCTCTTTCTGATGCTGTGGGCAGGAAGGGCAGAGTGGTCGCTGGGCCTGTGAAAGCGGGCTCGAGGTGTCAAGTAGGAGCCCTCATTCTTGCTGTGGGATTAGTCTCAGTGAACCAACAGGTAGCACAGAGACTAATAAACTCTTTCCCCTGTACCATTCTGCTTAATCTATTAGAAATGGAGCCTGATCTTCACAGGGATGATGCCCTTCCTGTGCTGCCTCTAGGGCAGCCAGGGGTCTTGAGGAGGTACCTGGGCCTCACCTGCTGTTTGAAGTAGCGTCGTTCCTCCTCGTCTATGAGCACCAGGTTGAGGTAATAGCGCACGGAGAACTTCTTATTGATGTCCCTCATGGTGGGGGTGAGCTCGTAGCCCGCCAGGAAGAGCCGGATTGGGATGGACTCTCCTAGAAGGGCCAGGCAGGAGTTAGAGCAAAGGGCAAAGTGACTCACCCTACCTTACACCAAGTCACTCCCTGCCCACAGCACGGGAGGTGCCACCTGAGCGTGTCATGGCACACTCAAGGGAATGCTTCCGGCCTTTGGGAAGTTGCATTCTGTGGCTCAGTGATCTGCTGAAGCAAAAACGTGACTCTGCAATTCGATTCCAGGTCCTGTTGCATCTTCTCTCACTGTCCCGACATAGAAACCAGTAAGTATGAACAGCACAGGATCCTACAGCCAAGCATCTTTTGATTATATGTAATGTGTCCAGTTGTTGTGTTTTTACAAGTCAATTGCCAAGCCCCAGCTAACTCATCATGTCACCCAGCAATTTCAATACCACCTTCCTCCAACCTAAATGGTGTATCCCCTGCAAAACACATCCCACTCTAAGATGGATTGGCCACAATCCAAGGGTAGTATAATGGTCTTAAAGAGAAAAAAATCCTCACTCTGGTCCCAGTTCTCCATTAAACAGTTATATATGACTTCTGAGGAAGTCTATTGCTTTCTCTAGACCCTAATTTTCTCATGTGGAATATTATGGGATCGGACTACATGATATTTTAGGTCCCTTCCAGCTCTAACACTGTGCCTTTCCTAATTTAAGAGAAATGAAATTAGGGCAGTAATTATACTGAGAAAGGCCAAACCTATAATGTAGTCTAAAGCTAAATATAAATGCACTTTTAATTATCTACTGTTTTGTCTTAATTCTCAAGGGAAATGACAAGTGGGTCTACTTGCACAGCTGGTGAAAAAAATGGAACATGCAGAGAGTCAGGAGAGTTCAGTCCTATCCCCCACCCCCACAAGGACCTGGCATGATGACATCCAAGAACTGGCTCTCATCGTCCCCTCCTTCCACATGGAAGACATTAGAATAAACTGAATAAAACCTTGGCATCACCAAGCACTTCTAAATGAAAAAATATATTCTTCATCATCAGTGGCTGCGGGGCCAAAAGAACATACATGATTGCTACTCCCAAATAATCACAGATTCCCCAAATAACAAAGCTTCCAACTCCATTCATTCCAGATGTAACGTAGGCTCTGGGATGGGTGGGGCGGGAGGGGCACTGTTTCTGTGTTATTCCAGGTGCTGTCTGTGGCACCTGGTAGTGCTGGCCGAAGTATGTGCACTTGGTGAATGAATTCAGAGAATGGGTCATTTAATAAGAGGTAGAATTAAGGAATAAAAATTATTATTCTGCATTAATCTCTTGCTCCCTGGCAGCAAAGAATGTCAGTAGGAAAAGGTGGTAAAATGTGCAAACCATCTATTAAATCAGTACTTTTCAAGCTTCTGTTGTTTTTAAGAGGTGTAACTCTTAAGATGCAATCTCCAGTACAAGCTCAATATATAAACGAGGCCGAGGTAGAGTTCTGGGTGAAAGTGAAGAAGGAACCTGAAGTTCCACATACCCAGCTCTCCTTTTCCTCTTTATTGGGATCCACAGTGAACAATTAGAGATGAGAAATTATAGGTGAATAAGCAATCTTACTTCAGCAGTAAAACCCCCTAAGCGCCTCTACAATTCTTCGTGGGGACTGGGAGAACGGGGAGGTGGCTACAGGCTTAGGGGCCGGACGCTCACCTCTCACGGGCGCCCCGTCCATGATCTC